CCAACACATATAAGCAGAGTAATAAAATTGAGATTAATGATGTTTTTCTTTTATCAAACAGAATTCTCTATTTCATCATTTCCCAGCTTTGTGTTTAAGGTATTGTTGCTTCATTTCTATGAGCTCCTGTAGGTTTTCTCCTCCTATTACTTTGATAGTAAAGGGTTATTTCGTATAAGGCAATTAGCACAGTGACTGGCATATAATCAGCATTCAGTAACTATTCACTTGTATTTATCCTGGTTATTATTTTGTTAAATTCAAAAATATATAAAAATGTAAAAATTGTTACCAAGTAAATTCACAGGGATTTTAATACTTGTCAGGGCATATCTTCAGCTAAACTTACACTAACATTATTAACTGTACATTATTCACATTTTTTTTTCTTTACCGAGTTGAACAATAGTAAGTGACATATTTCCCCTATTGAATTCTTCCTTTGTCAGTATGAAATTTTCAACATTTCTACATAGTTTTAATTTTCATGCTAATTTGCTAAGAATATGTATTGAATCAGTGGGCTAGATAAGGAAATTAATAAAAGCCAAAAATATAGTGGTTGAAAAAGTGTCATGGCATAGAACATTAAAAAAAAAATCATTTCTTGGGGGAGGGGAATAGCTCAATGGTAAAGCATATGCTTAGCACGCATGAGGTCCTGGGGTGAATCCCCAGTAGGTCCATTAAGTTTTTTTTTAATTAAAAAACAATCAGTTCTTAACTGGGAACCATGTATCATAACACTTTTATGTTGCCTTTGGGGGGAACTTTAGTGTCTGAAAATGGACAAAGGGATTAAAATGCCTAAGAATGGTTTATGGGATATTGAAATTGTCTAGGTTATTTGGTTATTTCTACACTGGCAAAGTGAGGTACAGACTTCAAATCCTCTTCTTCATGTCAGCTGTCCCTCACTGGAAAGAAAATAATAAATTTCCTATGTGTTTGTTGAAACAACCACTAAGTTACTTCTACTAAGGTCTCCTTCTAGAGAGAGTTAGGGAAAGAGACAGTGTCTATCGCATCATTATCGTCTGTAGTCAAGTGGGATTTGTTATAATAAGTCAGCCTGCTAGTTCATAAATTGTCTCCTAAACTCTAGTTATTTGTCCTCTGTCTCTGCAAATGAAAACTCTATTTACATCTAAATCCTCTGGAAACTGACATTGAATGACAACTGGCAAAGTCAATCTAACCCTTACAAATTTATTTACACACTCTCTGAAGTGGTAGCATTTACGACCTACCACTCATTTGGTAATTTAGGCAGTATTACATTTGTTGTGCTTTTGTTCTATATAGTTAATTAGCATTTCCTGTATAGAACTCCTTTCCCCTTAGTCTAGAATAAATACACTTAACAACAGGAGCAAGAACAACATCAACACTAACAACTCCACTGGAGGGCACAGGACACCCGTTGCTCCTCAGAGCTCTCTTATAGCAGGTAGAACAACGCCGTCTTTGTGTCATCACATGTAGATATCAGATACGTGAAATCAGAGTGCTGTTCATTGCTAGTGTTTAAAAAAGCTTAGATTTCCCCCTACCCCACTTTCATCTCTTTCCGTTCCACAGTAGCCTGACACGATTGTGGGGTATGATTTGATTTATGTGACGGTCTTATAATTCTGATTTGATAGCCATCACAAGTATACACTGTACTTTTATTCCCAAATAGAAGTTGTGTTTAGGAATATAACGGAGAACCTCACAAGAACGTCTAATTTGTTTTCCTTAATCTCCTTGAAAGCTCATGATCAGGTTGCTTGCGTGTAACTGCCAGGCTCTCTAATAAGAGTGTTGTAAACTGTTGATTCTTTCTTCTTTAGTACATGGATAATCGGTATAATAAACTGTAATAGCTCCCAATTATATAAATACATGTTGAGGGACTTTTTACAATGCATATTTTTGACACAATCCACTCTACTAGATCCTTCAAAGCTGTTAGACTCTATTGTTTTACAGTCTAGTTGAGGGTGCTTCTTAACACATAAATTTCCAACTCTTTGACATTCATATTAGCGACAAAATGTAACATAAAACTTTTTTGTTGCTGCAGTTACAGCTCATAATGAAAATAATTTATGTCCTCCTTTCATTTCACTAATTTGTGGTTTCTCTTTTATAGTCCTTAAATCTGTGTGTGTGTGTGTGTATATATATATATATATATATATATATATATACAAAGAATAATAATACACAACAAACAAAAAATAAAAACGT